GGGACTCCTTAAAGCAGAGGCGATACAAGCTGAATACACATACACTGAAAAGTGACACAAAAAAACTGTTTTTATATTTTTGCTCTCCAAAGGCCACACACAAAAAGTAAATATACAGAATTGCCAACAGAAATATGTGAATTATGTTATTGATTTTGTGCACACCAATGTGTCTGTTTAAATCGAGGTTTTGTCAGTCTCAATGTACGTCTCTCTGTAAATTAAAAAAAAGTTTAATGTCTGATGTCTAAATGTTTTTATACAGTAAATGATAGAACCTTGGATTCCAATGTGTTTATTTTGGCTGCTATAATGTCTTCTTTCAGTTTTTCTCTAACTCTAAGTGAGCAAAGAAAATATTCCGCACGGATCATCATTTATTCAGTGAACTCAGAGACAGGAAAGCATCTCCCTCCAGCAGCCCTGAATTTTTAAAAAAAAGGGCGATTTCATATACTATTTTTAGTATAGCAATGCTTCATTATGTATCCAGAACAGAAGCTACTGTTCTTTTACCAATTGGTGGTCAAGTGTCTGTTAAAGTAACGGCTGAAACACAACCCCCAGAGTTGCATCACCCTAATGCATAAAGTTTTGTGTTAAGTGTATTTTATTCTCTGGTGGCTGACTTGATAAGAATCCTTGACTACTGGGTATCATTTATATTAGTTTAAAACCTCACCCTGATAGTGATTTGTTCTCATATAACAGATTAACTTCCCAAACAGGATTTCCAAGGTAAGCATTGAGGAAGTGACCTCACTGTAGTTTCTTCCTACTCTTCTAGCCGCAGAGCGCCATTCAGTACAAAGTCTAGTTTAGGGTAATGAGTCTTTCATTAATTGCAATTGCAATTTCCAATATAATAAAGGGTTGCTGACCTATATAATCTCTCTATATAATGAACGCATAAAAAGCCCCCAAATGATCCTTTAAAAAAAAAAGTGACTTCTAAGACACATATTCATATCTCTTGTCCACATGTTGAGGTGAAAGGTTCAGACTTGACGTAGAAAAACACTCCTATCACTGCAGTAGAAATGGTAAGAATCCCACATCCTGACAGGTGACTGTCATTTAGCTGAGTGCTGTCGAAGCGTCCGTCGTTATGACAGCCATGCCTGCTTACTCAGGTTCAAATTTATACAGCTTGCTTTTGTTTCAATTTGTTATTCTGTACATTTTCAATTGACAAAAACTCTTAAATGAGCACATACATTAAACATACACATAATTGCCAAGATGAGGAATAAAAGAGGCATCCCTTCCTTTGTACACGCAGCATTCAGCTGCTTAATAAGCTCTGATTATACTAAACTTGGCACTCTGCACTTAACTGTACCTGCTACTTGACCTCCCTTACATGTGATCATGCAACACTTTAATGTTGTATTTTAGTGATGTATTTTTATTCATATTTTACCATGTTAATATGAGCTGTCCAGTATGGTTGTTGATGTCTTTTGTCTCTTTTGTGTTATCATGCTAGTAAACCTATGGGCATCAGCAGCTGGGAGCAAGTGGGAAAAGGAATAAATATTGCATCTGTTATTCTTGTCTCCATAGTTCAAACCTGACCTCCTGACATGTTTGTAAATTAAACGAACACATTATAAATCCAATTTTTGCATGTAATTCTCTTTTGCACACCTTGACATGGATACATGTACATTGTGTTATCAGCAGACCTATTCTCAGTTACCCTGCAGCCACATACAGTACTTGCAGGGCTCTGTTCGTTGCTCCAGTTATGTCGAACTAGTGAGGGGGAAGCCTGGTGTACCGCAGCTAAAAGCCAAGTCCCACCATGGAATGAATAATGAATACAGATTCCTATCCAGTCTATCCGCATACTAGTTCAAAGACATCCTACAAGTCCATGCATAAAGCAACAAGACACACAACTCTATGCTAATGGCTCTCAATACTAGGGGCTGGACGGAGCTTACTGAGCCATGCAAATGTTCCAGTGCTGAGGATGAAGATGTCAGATGATGGGGATGTGATGAGTAACTGCTAAGTGTTTGTGGCAGGCCGGGGCTGGCCAGGGAAACACTACATGTACGTCAGGGCACCAGCAGCATCCAGAGCATACACACACACCAACCCATAAACTACTGGAAGCACAAGTCGTCCCAAGGGATGCCTGGACATTTCCTTGATGCTGAGTGATGCTAACGACCTCCCTGGCCCTACAGGACCGAGACATGAGCATTGGTTGAGGCTGTCACAAGAGATACCATATCACTGCCGACCACCCACTTATATATCTTTTACTGCAGTGGGGCCTCAGGTATAATACAAATCCACCATTATCCGGGATGTTTGAAGGTACACATCCTGCATGTCTGGCTCACTAATACCTGGATGGAGGCAGTTAACTCACAATAAGCATAGACACCTTGGTGTCTTAATATAAAATAAAAGCCCTCATTCTGACTGTTTTATTAATTTTGTGTATCTAAACAACCATTCAGTGTTTTTTTTTTAAAGTGAGGAAGTAGATAACAATAACAAGGTTTTTCAAAACTTCAAATTTTGTACCACCCCTGTCTGGAGAGTGTTTTTATGGACAACAGAGGTTTCCAAGTGCAGCACTTTTGCTCTGATCTGGTGCAGCAGGAAACACGCTGCCAAACTACTGAATAGGAAGTAAAGCAAAAGGAAGAAAAGTAAAATGTTTTCCCAGAGGGTGTCTGTGTTAATTCACTACGCTGCTGTATACGCATGCCCTATACAAATATGCGACGACAACTGAATAGTCCCTACCAATTTTATTATAAAACACCTACACGGATCTCTGAATGCTGAGGGATCATTCCTATGAGACAGCTATGACCGTTAGAGACTCCAGGCTGCAGTTTAGTTCCCAAACTTCACTGACAGACCTGAATGTTACACACAGTAACCCAAGGCCTCAGGATTACATTGTTGTGTTTGTTCATGACAATGCAAGAGGCTAAATGTGAACAGTCTTTTAGCCTTTTTCCTGATTAGTCTGAAAACTAAAGCCTGGTTATCAGAAACGGAAACAGCCCTCTGTTAGTGAGCCCATCAAAGGGAAATATTTTCTTTCATGCAACTCAGAGAGAGAAAGGAAAACTTCAGTTAACCTTCCTCTGGGAGGGTATTGTATGTGTTTGAGTCTGTCTTTTTTTTTTTTTTTTCTTATGTCATTCCCTGACTTTATCCCCTGCCTCTGTTCTGCCTCTCTTGCTTTCACTTTGTGTTGATATCCTCCAGCGCTTCTCTCTTGATCCCTCCACCCGCGTCTCCTTCATTTCCACACCAACCTCTGCTCCTTTATGCCTCTTTGCATATGAATCTGTCATAATGCAGGCTCCTCGGTGTGACAAGAGCCTGTAGGAATCCCATTGGGAACATTTCCCAGAATCCCTAAACGGCAACCCTACCCAAAAAAAAAAAAAAGAGAGATTGACCCAACAGCTACAGAGGAGCTTCAGTGAAATCCTTCAGGTACTGAAAGGTGAACTCAGCTCTGTGCTGTTGTAATTTCTTAACTTCAATTATATCAAAAAGTTCATATCCACTAAACTTTCTTTTTAAAGGTGAAAATTCTAACTTCATACTCTGGCAAAAGAGCTGTTTAAGGGACCAGCTCACCCTCTCTGCAGGAGTGAAGTGTCTAGTTTAATTACAACTGAACAAGTGTTCAATGTCATGCATGGGTGGAGGTCACTACCTCTGCTTCGCCTCTCAGACCCTGACAGATGAAGCAGTGAACAGGAAAGGGCTATTAGGAGACACACTGCAGGAAATCTTCCCATTTTCAAGGTAGAGGAAGTACATTTTTTTGGTAACAACATGAGTTAGGTGATAAAATGTGCTCACTGATTTGGCTCAGTCGCTAGTACTGCCACTTCACATCATTGAGGTTCTGGAGATGTGCCTATGTGCTATATGCAGTCCGACATCCTTTGAATTATGTATTTTTAGTTTGATAATGCACCTCACTATTTATAAGCAAAGCCAATGTTAAGTGCTCCACAGAAAATAATGTGACCTATAAAGAGCAATCCTCATCTCCGGCACTTTTAGTTTTCTTGTCAGTTAAGGGCTCTGACCTTCTAGATTTCAGAAGGAGTAGATACAAGGTAGCTTAATGTTGAGAAGTCAGCCTGTATTCAAATACCCCTAGCACACATTACATCTACTGAGGATAAAACCATGGAGGAAACCCTTGGAAGGGGGTCAAAAACGACTTTTATTGCATGGAGAGAGGTTCAATAAACTTGTGGTCTTTCGAGGGACATATCAACATGATCAAGCATTGCTCATGTAAAAAATGTTGAACCCCTGTAATTGGATAAGGGATATAAAAGAGCGAGGAATTTAACAATATGTATATTATGTTAAGTCTTTACAACACCCCTGCCCGTGTATGAAAACACAACAAAAAACAACATGACAGAGGTTTGTGTATGTGGTTAGATAGGAGAGCAATGCTGAAAACAATTCAAGACAGGAGTTTTTTCTCCTTTCATAAGTTCTCTCTCGGGTAAATGCTGTATTCTGTATCTTGTAACTCAAGAAAGCCATCACTCCCAACAGCTACATTAGTCAAACCTCATACTTTGAGTTTGTTTACTTGATTTTTTTGTTTGTTTATGGTAGGTGTTTTCTGCTTTTTTTCCCACTAAAGATGGGGTTTTTTTTAAAATATGTTTGGCGAACAATTCAATTACTTTTTTATATTGTTTTGTAACATTATAAAGAACATGCAATAACTGGAATATGTATGTGCTTAACTTTGCCCAATAAACAAAGTGATTTTTAAATTTATTTTATTGCCTCATGTCCACAAATTATTGATGTAAAGCCTCGCTCATGAAAATAACCTTTAGTCAAGAAATTGGAGAACTGTTATCTGCAGTGGAGAGTGGAATGTTGTGTTTTCTGTTAAGGAAGGAGGTCATTACCGATTGGTAATTACCAAGGGGGATTAAGTTGATGACAATGACAGGAAATTAAACACTGACCTCATTAAAGTTGGCCACCTCCTCGCAGTTCTCAGCCACACGGCTGAAGAAAGGCAGACCTGTAGGTTTAAGAGGAAATAAGAGGTTAAAAAGGGATCGATAGTTCACTATGGCAGTCTACTTACGCTGTTTTTCAGTGTAAGTAGGAGGACACACAGAATAATTAATTTATTAATAATACAGAACAAGCGAAAACTCATCAATCTTGGTATTAATCTTAAACAACATGCCTTGTTAGACTTATTAAGTTTGATGATCCTTCATGACACTGTTACTTTATATTTCTTGTATTTCCCTTAGGTTGGATTTCTATTTTCTTTACAGTGCACCTGCTGGTGATCTCTTCTTGGGTAATAGCAGAAGTAGATCATGTTTCCAAGACTAAATGGAACATTTTACAGATATTACAAAGTTAATATATAGATAATAAAAAAATTGTTGGGATATTTTTCTGTGGGCACTTTTACTTTAGGGACGTTGGGCATACTTGTCTCACTGCTGTCGGATTCAGTTTTTAAAAATGAATGTACGCATATACGTACATTAGTCAGCATGAAGAGGCTCCCACTATTGTCTTCAATCTGTTTAACATATGCCACATTAAAGGCAAGTGAAAAGACAAATGACTGCCTTTAGTAGCTTGAAGAAATGCACAAATGAGATGAGCTGTGTGGAGAAGCAGAAGACGTAAAAGAATAATTAACTGGCTAAAATTTGTCTCAGTTCACCAAAGCATTTCACAGAGAAACACCAGAGAGAGGGACTTTCTGTAGAACCAAAATAACATGAAAGAAGCCAGGTTAAAGAAAACCAAACTGTCCACATGGCCTTCTCGAATGAGCAGGACAACATTAATTTGTCAGTGCGGTGCAAAGTATACACAAATCATAAAGCAATTCAATGATCTGGCTCACTCACATGTGCCTCAGCATGTCACCTGGTTGCTTTGTGACGCTTATGAATGGAGCTGGACTGCTGTGCGCAGCCTGCTTTGTTTCATTTGTTTGATTTGCGTATCTGAAGCGTTTGTGTGGGTGTTGATGTTTGTTTGGGTGCATGTGGACAGCTGATTTGTACTGACAGACACACTTTCATACACCACACAGAGACTTACTAAGCTATAACCTCTGTCAGTTTGGGTTTTACAACCACAGAGTAAATACTGTCTGAGTTTAAATACAGAAAAGACCGAAAAAAAAAATGAAATGCTGTTAACCTTCATACAATTTTACCAATTCATGCTTTCTATTTGTCTTTCCGTCTTTTTTTTACTCCCCAATCGGTGCAGCCTTTTAAAACCCACATCCATTGAAATCATTTTTTTAGAAAATAAAAACTGCTTGAATCTAAAAAGGGAGTGGGACAATATTCCTCCTACATTATTGAATGAAGAGGCGATAAAAACATCCAACTGAGACGTGGGTTTGGAGATGTACCTCGTGTCAGACTTATGTAAGGTGCTCCACACCACACCAAAACAACATTCTGCTAATCTTTTTGTCTTCTGGCCTTGATGAGAAATAAAGCGATTGAGAGTCGGGGGAAGGGCAGCATTGAAAAAAATGTAACTGCAATAAAATGGACAAGAATGCAGAGTATATTTTATGTGAGCAGAATATTATATTATCAGGAGAACACCACGAGCGAGTGAGAGGGGGTTACAACATTTATATCCTGTGACCGTTGCACAACCGGTGACTATCTGCACGCAAGCGCTACGATCTCCATGTTTTCTATTCATCAGTAGGTTCTTCTCTGCTCTTTTGTTGATACTGTGTCAGTATTTTTTTAATAGGAAAGGCAAATATTCCCATTATCGTAAAGCGGAGTGTGTTGCTTTGTCCGCCAATTCTGCGTCTAGCTGGGGATGTAAAGAAAAGCGTGCTACATTAAAGGAAAGGGATTTCAATAATTTAGGTTGGATGTAGAGCTGTAGATGTTTAAAACCAATGACTGGAGTTCAAAAGATGACTGTCAGAGAAGAAGCATTGATGTAAAGAGTCAAACAGAGGTTTTTTAAGTTATAGATAGCCGGCAAAAGAAGGCAGACAAACTGAAAGAAGAGAGCTTTCTGAGAGTATTTTAAAGGAGATATAATTCTTTAATTTTCTGATTGAACTCTGCAGTGTAGAGTGTGCGTGTGTGATCCTGCAACAAGCGATAGGAGTGGTGCACTTTAGTAGAGTCCTCAAAGACTTGTCACAAATTCAGTTTTGTTTTGATGCTTTGCCTCTGAAGTGAACTTTAATTATTGTCTATTGCAACAGATAATGTACCAGTTTAAACCAGAGATGACAGGGAAGTTTGGAGTCTACGAATATACTTTGTAGTTGGGGAATATTATGCCTTACAAAAAAAAATCTGTTGTTAACTTTCTTAAAAACAATGGGGTGGATTCTGTATTATATATGTTGTTTCACACCACATTAGGTCACTTTTGCTCTCAGTACTAACTTGTCGGCGAGCAATTACATGCATAACATCTCTCTAGGGGTCATGTATGGTTCAGCATGCTCAGGGAGGGCATACACTTCCTGGCAAACCCCTTCCTCTGCAGACTAGAAGCTAAAAGCACTCAGGAAGCTCTACCGACAGTCTGTAGGGGGAAAGCAAGATACAAAACCCCTAAAGAAATTAAACAGGCCGTGGATGCAAGATAGACCACTGTTTCAGTGCCACTGGTACTACTTAGCAGCATTGGATGCACCAACTCATAACATCCTATAGGTGCTCAACTGGATTTATGAAAGGGTACCATTAGCTGTGACATGGAGGTCTGTGTAAACCTCCTACGAAAAACCTCCCCAGACCATTATTGACCCAGGAACAAATCCTGCCTAACAGTGCAAAATAGAAAAAAAGATTATCCAGACTACATTACTGCCCGTTTTGGAATATGGAGACACGCTCTACACACACGCATCTGCTTCTGTCCTGAAGCCTTTAGATGCCCTATATCACAGTGCTCTTCGCTTTATCACAGGCGACAGATTTTGAACTCATCATTGTGACCTCTATCGATCTGTAGGCTGGTCCTCGTTGGGTCAACGAAGAAAGCAGCACAGTACTTTGTTTATTTACAGGGCACTCATTGGTCGACTTCCTCCTTACCTGACTAATCTCCTGTCTAAATCAAGCCACTCAACCAGAGGTTTAAAACTGAATGGGGAAAGATTGCTTTTAGTGTTGCTGCACCCATTCTGTGGAATTACCTTCAGAGGATAGCTAAGTTGCCCTCTATTGTTTCATTCAGCATTTTTAAAGATCTAGTATCCGAACTACCTCAGGAAGCAATTTGCAACTGTTTCACAATGTGAAATCATTGAAATGGTCATGGTTTGCATGTATGAGTATGTGTTTCAGTGTTTATGCCTTTATTGTTAACTGTTTATATGTTTATATTTGTGCTGTCTCTATTTTTGTATTGCTGCAGGGCACCAATGGAAAAGAGACCTCGGTCTCAGTGGGTCCTCCAAGCTAAAATAAAGGATAAATAAAAAAATAAATATAAAAATAATAATCATCCGATTAATCCCCTTATAGAGTAATGTAGTAAAGTAGGCTAATAGCATTACTTAAATTGGTATTGAGTCCATCACCTGTTTGACCAAGAGATTGATTTAAAAACTGTAGGCCTACTGTTGTTTTGAGGGTACTTGTATAATATTAATGACATGTCTAGCTATACGAATAAATACATGATTATGTTCTCAAATGCTGAGCGTTAGTTTTATCCCACTTTACAAATTAACACAGTTTACACCACAACAAAGATGGCGGCAGCCCTTCGGCTAACGTTACCAGACTAGGAAACATACTGGCCACTTCGAAACCCGTTTCTACTTTTTGCATCAGTCCGAATCTTTTTTTCAATTCAGACGGTTGAGGAAGTATTTTGGAAGTTAGAAAAACCTTATAAAGAGCGGTAAGTGTTATACAACCGGATAAAGCTGGTTTTAACGTTGGTTACCATCATGTAGGGGAACATCTTGCTGGCTAATAGGTGAGACGGCCCTAACTGGGGCAAACCAGACAGACAAAGTTTTATTTTTGGCAGCTAGCTTAACAGCTATATCTGTCATCTAAGTTGACTGCGAGAGCAAAAAGAAACTCTTCAGTTACTGAGAGACACGAATCCATATTAAAGATAATATTCCCCCGTCACTGCTGAACATACAAATAAACACCTGGAAGTTAATGAGTTTGGCACATCAAAGGAGATAATATTAAGTTGCGTCAAATGTCAAACTTGTTTCTACTGCCCCCAGGTGGCCTAAATCATCAGTAAGAGTGTTTTCTTCTTTTTCTTTTCGCTATCGAGTTAAAAATTTTTTCCTTTTTTAACTGTTTACTCCTACTAAAATTGAAAAGATGACGTCATGTTTCATTTTGACAGCAACCAGAGAATTTGTATGAGTTGTCCGGAAGTTCTGACTAGTGGGTTTCTGTGGCACTAGATTCACAAGAAGAAGAAAGAAAGGACCGAACAACTTTAAGCAAACTACCTTTACAATAAGGTTTGTAATATTACAGAATGTGAGACTTGGGTGAACAGCTTTCAAAAGTTGTGACTCTGTTGCCTTCTGCTGGGCAACAATTTGGGTATAGGATGTGATCATTTATGATCAAAACCTTTAAAATTACCAAATAGTCAGACTTATGTTTAGGTCAGACATTCAAATTAGTAATAAAATACAATGAAATACAGGTGTGTGCCTTTTCAACATTGCAAACGTATTTTATGCTGACTAAATGATAGCTTCTTGGGGTTTTTTGTAGCATTTTTTGTAAGAATTTGTGAACTCCTTCATAACTTCTGAAACTCTCAGATAGTATCACACAAAAATTATTTTACATAGGCAAACACTCGCGAAAGTATTTTTGCAAAAGCACAGACTTAATCTGAGACAGAAGGGCACAGCAGGAGGTCAACAAACCAACACACACATGTCATTACTTAGCTTGTTCGAAATTGCAAACACATAAACTGAAGCCACTGTGCTGACAGTAAGACCATGGGGGCAGAGCAGACGATCTAATCCTTGGCTTGGATTTCACGGTTCATGTAATATAAAAGACCCTGGTGAGTTAACTGCGGCACAACACCCCCACCCCTTTCTCCAGTGCAGACACAGTCACAGTGCGATGGATAGACGACAATTTCGGGTGGTGGTCTTGCAATCCCACACAGTCCAGTACTGATGCTGACAGCAGCTATCAGAGATCAGCTGGGGATGTAACACCTGGCATGTGAGTGAACTGATCGCTGTCCAAGGTGCTGATACGCACACGCCTTTCTCTTCCTATGCCTTCCCCTTTTATGTTTATCCCTCGCGCGCGCGCACACACACACACACACACACACACACACACACACACACACACACACACACATACACATACGCACACACGCGCGCGCACACACACACACACGCGCGCGCACACACACACACACACACACCTACACACACACACACACACACACAAAGAAACGCATGAATGAATTCACTGAACTCCAACTCCAATTATCCCTATTATGGACAGCAGCACAGAAAGAGCTGCCTGTGTGTTGCATTATGATCCTTTGGGAGCTTTAAAACGCCAGAGAACAGGAGGATTGACAATTATCCCGAAGGAAAGATAAAGAATCCCCACCTCCCATCAGCCTCCCACACCAATGTGAAATCAATGCCATCAGCCTAGTCAATTATAACCCATACTGACCTCTTGCTCCTACTGCTTTATGAGTAAAATGATTCATTATGACTTTGATAAAGAGAGGTCGTTTTATTTGTAGGAATGAATTCATATAGCTATTAGGCTACTTCTTCCCTTTTTGTGGGAATTCTAAATAATTTGATAATAATAATTTTCGTTCGTTTTCAATTAAGGAAAGCTTTTGTTCCATTATGTACCATCATCACGAAGAATGTAAGCATATATTTCAAATGTAGTTTGTTTTTATAGTAGCCTAATAATACATGAGAAGTCCTGCATAAAGGGGGTAGAACACGGAAACATATCACATAAAGTATCATAAGGGGTTGTTTTTTTTTGTGTAGTTTCAATTTGAATGTTTTAAAGACTGTAAGTCCCGTGTTTTCTCTTACATTGAACGAATCAGAGCGCGGCGCGTATCCGGTAACCATTCATCCAGGAGGGGTTTCCCCCAACTTTTCACTCAACCAGGGACGCGTATTTTCTCCAACGTAAATCAAATCGGGACACAGGACACGCAGGGGTATCCTGTCACAAAACATTCAGGCTCTCTCATAAACACGTTGCATTTTAAGATGTCCTACCTCTGAATGTAACTTTGGCGATCCTGTCACCTTTCCCCCGAAGGTGAGCGACCGTCTTCAGGTGAACCATTAGAGACATCATTAGTCCACGCTGGTCAGGGGGAGTAATTCTACTCCACACAGGTTAAACTTGAACCGGTTTGGTGCAATCTGTGTTAGTTGTTTCTTTAACTGAGCCCTTCCTTGCTTCTAGACCCATCAAATGGTTTTCCACAAAGGCAGCATGAAGAAGAGTTTGTTTTCTTAAATCTCACAAGAACAAAAATAGCGATTTAATCATAAGCTCCAGTGAACATTTTCTCTCCCTCCGTGCTCCGTGGCTGCTCGGTCTGTCGCGCATCTCTGGGCTGGCACTTGGTTTTACTCTGCTCGTTGTGCAGGAAGGGCGGGGGTGGTAGTGGTGGTAGTTGGGGGGTTGGCTTCAGCGATAACGATGCTCTAATTGTAAGACATGAGTGCAGCACTGTGATTTGAGAGATATTCGGCTCCCCCTTTTCATTGAGAAAAAAAACAAAACATCCTCCCTGTTTTCATCACTGCAGTGCAGACTGCCAGGTAGGATTATTAGGCTATTTTTCAATGGATTTACAATGCATTGTGTTACATTACGAGTTATTTTCTAATAGGGTTTTCAGTTTGGCAGATAATAAAACACAGAGCTGACTTATCAGTGGGCTTTACATGCCTGTAAGACCTGGTATGTTTCTGTTAATTCTGCAAAGACTTGCAAAGAATTTCCAGTGACCTTAAAACTATATGAATTGCAGGAATTGCAATGTTATTATTTGGGACAGAGGCAAAGAAAAATATAGTTGCCAGGCAACCCTTTACCCCCTTACCATGGGGTAATGCAGCTGCAATTGCTCAACTAAAAGATAAGTCAACTGAGGGGCGAAAAAAGCATATTAAATTGTGACCAGCATTGTTGAAGTTCTTTCCAGTTCAACGAGTAAAATATTAATAATAAGCATTTATTTATGATTCTAGCTTTGCCAATTGGTCCCTGTCTGCTGCAGAGCAGTGGTCCTTCTTTCTGCTCTGGTGACAAACAAAAGTAACCGCTTTTTACTTGCTGACTGATGAACAGTAATCCACATATCTGTTACAAAGAAGGACCAGCAGGTAAGCAGCTGTGCCAAAAGCTTTTCTAAACAGAGTGAAGGTGCCTGTCAGGGTCTGCAGGGGGGATTCAGGAGGGGAATAGAGATAATTCCCTGGTTTACTAGTTGAAAGGCAAAAAATATAAGGACAAATCATTTCCAAAAACATGATTAAAATGAGAATAGTTTTTTTTTTAATATTTGTAATACTTAATGAAATCTTTGGGAACAAAAATCTATCTAACAAGTATAAAATACATTCTATTATAAGCAGAGTACCAGAGTTGCACTAATGGCAGCAGGAATCCCTCGGAGAGTTCTGTAATTTTTTTCAGCCCTAAAATCCTGACAGGCACACGAACACAGTTGTGCTATCAGCACAGCTTACTGGAACTGCCAACGCATAAAACAAGCTGTCAGTGAGGACTCAAAACAGCTGCTTAAAGTGGCCATACACCGAGAATATATATTGTACTGCAAGACAGTGTAGTGGAACACTTTGACATGTTTATTCAGCTATTGAGTAGCTATTGATTTAGCTGAAATGGCCAACAAATGATGCCATGCCATGCCATGCCATCCCATTAGTATTGATATAGTAGCAACACCTGTCATTATAACACAATGCATTTTCACTGAACCACAATCTGCATACCCAAAACTGACATACAGTTCAATAGATACCTCATTAAAACAGTTGGAACTAAGATTAGTTGCATTTAAGAGAACTAGCTTTTTTACTAGTTGTACATATCGAAAAAATAAATTGGACCCCTTATTTCCCCATGAGCTTATACTGTTTACTAAACCATTCTTATTTTAGTTTCTCTCTCAGGCAGTTAATTGGAACTATTTTTTTTTTCTCTTTCTCTCAGCTCTCCCTGAAAAAACAAAAACACAGTGGTGGAGCAAAGAGCTGGCTTAGGTCTTCAGCATCTCTGCATATGAGATTCAAGAACAAAAAATAAAAGAAGCGGTTGCGTTTATGTTTCAGAAAAGCTTCAAACAGGCTTAGATGTGGACAATTCCTTTACCTAACAGTCTTATGTAACACGTTAGGTACACATTCGTCAAACTAAATCAAGTAAGGCTGCTGATAGAATAGGAACACAGCACTCATATTGCTTTAACACCATTCATATAAAACTCATGAGGACATCCAGTCTGAGCTGATAGAGTATACCAGGGGAGATGGTCCATTTCATCACAAACATCTTGTCAGCTCAGTCCAGGATACAAACAAGACATGGATAACCTCAGGCATGAGTATGACAAGACAGAGCACCTTGTACCTCATATAGTGTACCTGCCAAAGGAGAAATCCCAACCTGCCATCCTCTTCTGTGTGTCTGTTGTGTATGTGTGTGTCTGTTGTGTATGTGTGTGTCTGTTGTGTATGTGTGTGTCTGTTGTGTATGTGTGTGTGGGTGCATGCTTGCGTGTGACTGAGTGGCTGCATTTGTACACTTGCCCACATGCAGTGAGTGAATGAAATAGATAACAATCTGCTTCCATAAGGTTTTTTTAATCAGTTATCAGAAAATTAATTACATTTTGCACTGAGTCTTCCACTATATTTTGAAGCTGTTGCGGAAGCACGTGTTAGCATGTGGTTTGGTGAGAACGACAGTGGAAGAGAAAGGGGAGAGACTCAGCACCAGTCTAGTTTCAATTATTGATGGTTTAACTAGAAGAAACAACATAGAAATAGTGTTATGTCTTTATTGGTCTCATGGACTGACAGAAGATGACACATGTATTGATTTTATATCAGGTTTGACCAATTTGTTTGTCTGAAAATACAGTTTCAGACAGAGTGATTATATGTGCAGAAATTCTGTTCAGAATGCTGAATCTCCTATTTGGTTTACTCAGAGTCTGGCTTTACAGTGTTTAATGTATTCACTCGTGACTGAATGACGATTGAAATCTTTTCCTCAGTGTAGTGAAAGGTCCTGACCAATAGAGGGAGATGTTGGTCTTCAGACAACCTGTATACTGAATGTACTTTATTACTTGAAGATGTGTGATATGTGAATACAGGCAGATCATAAGGTAGATCGATCATTTATAACAGAGCCCCTGACGCAGAGCTTATTTCCCTTCATTCAGCTCGTATAATGAACAGTTAATTTTCTACATTATTAATGAGAATATTGACCTCTGAGCTGAAGATGCCCTGTGAAAGGAGGATGGATTGAGTAATTGGATATCTGTCATATTGCTTCAGCTGGTCGTGGGAGATGTTGCCTAATATAGAGAAGAGGTCAAGAGGTTTTATTGCAAATCCTAGAGGAGAACTAAAGACATTTATTGTGCATGAAGTGCTGTAAATGTGTGCAATGAGGCAGACAATACTGCAACTGTGATGATAACCAAAGTAATGCAGAGGAAGTAACCATGCTCCCTAGATTTTATATTTACATTCTGACAGTATTTAGGTCATCAATATGGGGATTTTATCTGAAGCAGAAAATCACACAAAACAACCATGTGATGAACTGTAAGGTTATATGCTCACATAGTCTTAACTACATTGTTAAGTGACACAAGTTGAAGCTCAAACACATCTACTGCTGCTTAAAGACAACGATGCCTTCATAAAATCTTACTTCACTGGCACACCTGAGGGCTACGATGTAATCTACTTTCGAAAGATTGAATTGTTGCTCCATCTAGTGGTTAAATGACTTCTCTGGAAAAAGATGTTGCTGTCATCACAAATAAGATCATTTTTTTGAGTCTTGGCCAAGAGTGTCCTCTTGCACCTGGTGAAGAAGTGGTGTCAGATCTTTTAGGTTTCGGATGAGATAAGGGTATTTCCTGAAGAGGGAGACGTTTGTTTGTTAATAGATACATACATTTAACCAGCATCAAGAATGCATTTAGTCATTTAGACGAATGTTTGCAGCTTAATATGGACATTTATAAGGTTACACACACGCTTCATTCATATGCAGTCTAAGTTCTGTGTTGCAATTTTGATCACCCAGAAGTATGAACACAATGAAATACATGACAATTATCTTCCTCAGTAGACACAGTACAGACACAGACCAATTAACAACTAGCTTTTAAAAACATAAGCACATTCAAACAAAAAGAAATATTTGCAAATTTGGACAGCAGTTCATTTAAACTAAACGGACAGTTTAACACAAAGCACGATGGGTAAGGAGGCTAGATGGATCGCAGCCACAGAATATTGTCTCTCTAGCACCTGGTTTAGTTCACAATTTTATCGATTACAGATAGGCCTACTTATAAGTGTTTCGTTCAAGTGAAATGTGAAGTCGTTGAACGTTTTTGCTGACACAGAGAAGCCACGAGTTCACGGTTGTCAGCAGCAGTCTCAGTAGGAAGAGAAAGGAGGGGAGGGTGTGGGGAACGAGGAGGATTGGTGCGTCCCTGCCCTCTGTCTGCATCCAGCTGCTGAGTGAGCGCACCACATTCAATATGGCTTTAGCCGCAAGCAGGACGCTCTTGGCGCTATTCGTCACGTTTTGCGCACCAGGATGCGGATGGACAGGTAAAAGATTTTCTTACTGTTTTCCTCAGCAGGTGTACGCTTTGCTGGGTAACTTTTACTTTCGCTTTTTGTAGATTAATGGATACAGTCGAAGTGATGGGACAGTTGTTGCGGTCCAACCATTTTTGTTGAGAATTTTCAGTGTATTAAAGTGCAGGATCTGATCTCAGACTCTGCAAACTGTGATTTTGTTTGGTTTGTTATTGTATAAACACGTGACAATGTGAATGCGCGTACATATTAGGCTTGTGCGCGCGAGCCTTGACATTTCCAAATCCCCAGACGCTGCAGTTTGCATTTTTTCACGTGAACGAAATCGATAAATTGTAGCTATTTATCATGCATTGTAATACTTCATTTTGAGTGTCTCATTTGATTTATCATTTGCAGCTGTGGAGGAGTTTAAGTGAGCAATTACAGAAAACACAGACTTTTTACAGTTTTTTTCAGTGTTTGATAATTTATGGGAGGAAAATGTGAAGCCATGGCCCCTGAGTCTCAGTCATGGAACAAGTCCTTACATCATGGAGAAGGCGCAACCTGCACGAGCTGTGATCAGCAATTAGAAGATGACGACATATTTAAGGCTACATCAGGAGATACAAAGACAACAGTGTTGGGCTTTCTTCTGGCGCTGTATTACTCCATATTTGGGACTAATCTGGTTTATGATGATGATAAATG